GTCGGCAAACGCTGAGGCCACCAGAGGGCATCTCAATTGCAAATTCACGACGGGAGCAGTGGGTATTTGAATGCGGGTACGGTATATATTTAGATCTACCCACATTTGGTGCCGGATCGGTGGGCAACGCTTGTTTACAATAATTTGCTGCTGTGGTGAATCTAGCCGTGTCAATCAAAAGGAGCACAGAGAATCTCCAGCGTCGATGGAAGAAGTCCAACATCACTCATAACTCTTCCCTCAACAGCATCAGCACATACGGAGCGGAAGATGTCCTCAAACCTGGGATGGTTCTTTCTGGCTGAGGGCTCTTCCAGTTGGCCCCAAGCCGTTATTGTACGGGTTTATGCTGGTTTCTGAATGGGTGGATAGAACATGTTTGATGAACGTCCCCGTGGCGATTGATCAGCAAACCAGTGTCGTCCTTTGTTCAAGACCAAACAGGTGGTGAACTCACTTCACGTAACCATGACGATTGTGAGTGTAGACTCTTGATGCACATCAGCCGCCAGACACAAAAGAGGTGTTAGAATCCATGACAATCCAACCTGGGAGTAACATATACCAGGACCCTCCTGTCGGGGTGTCCAATGGACTACCCCACACTACCTATAGGCTTCCAGACAGGGCACCCCTTAGAATGGACTACCCCACACTACCTATAGGCTTCCAGACAGGGCACCCCTTAGAGGGTCCTGGTAATCAAGAGCTTGTATGTAAAACATGCGACGCAGGGCCCACTTAAAGCACCTGTGACCACCGGAGTTGGAGTTGTCCACAAGATGCGCGTCTCTTTATCCATCTTATTGCAACATCAGCTGCTGATACAGTAGATAAATGTAGAAATGGTAGAACCAACGTTTTTCAGAGAACAGATAGGTAGACATGGTAGAAATGCTAGTACAATCCCAGATAGAACAACGTTCTGCAACCTGTACAAGCAGACGGCTTTGAGCAACTGCACCGTATACCGTCCCTTCGGGGTAGTTCCCGGCACGAACCTCTATAAGCGGCGCCCATTTGGGCCTCCCCGGCACCGTCCTTCAAAAAGCGGAAGATTCACATGGAATCTCAAAACCACTCGGTGTTAAAGTAAAGTAGTCTTCCAGTCTGGTCCATTCTCACGTTCTGGGTCCCTTCGGGGGTGTACCTCCTTTCACCTCGGCACGTCCTCATTGAGGCAATGAAAGTGGACTCTTAGAATCCCATGGCCCGCTGCTGTTGCCACTCCCAATGAGGCGCGTTCTCGCGCCGCTGCACACATTCGTTGCTGGAGTGGTTGATACCCCCCACTTCGGCGCATTCTCGTGTGCCCACCATGTTCTTGCATATGCCATACATTCCACATATGATCACATACTGTATATGTACGTATTCATGCCGTATCAATCACATGAGTCTTTTTTTCACACCTGTATCACTCACATAAGTCGAATACTTGCACGGTGACACGAGTTGGTCTTGACCGTGTGTCGGCCGAAGTTAAGTTCCCGTCGCGAGGCGAAGTGCTTTGCGGCCCCACCGTCGTCCGACCGCGCTGGGTCACTTCTTGTGACCGCCGTTGGAAAAAAAGGGCCGGGTCCAGGTCTGGGAAGTGTGTTGTTTTCTATTTTCTCCGGTGAGTCAAGGATATGGAATATTTACATCATATGGTGAAATGTTCTGTTATGGTTTAATGGAAATATAGGGAAGTGACCTATAGTACTATAGTGTTTTAGTGGTTAGAAAAGGTGTGAGAAGGGGTGCTTGATGTCCAAAAAATGTTGAAGTTGCCGAAAGACAAGCACCCTGTTTGGGTGAGAAGGGTTACTTTTAACATGGAACCAGTACTTGGCCACACTTATAGTGCTGGCGGTGGTGGCTAGTCTTTCCACTTGGATGTGTCCGACTGGAGCTTACAAGCGCCGATATGCACAATGTTCGTCCCTTTGGAGTTTTTGAAGTATCCTCGTGCAGATGAACATGGTTAGAGGGTAATGTAGACTCTTAATGCCATATGAAGATGGTTCAATTCAGATGGTGAGGTTTATGAATCAATGTGTCTATACATGATTCCGGGTTCAAGGGCACCATCGCAGAGTTGGAATCGTGCCTGGTGTTCGCAGAGATGTTGTGTTCACATCTTTGTTCACCATGTTCGGTCTGGTCGAAACACCCCATGTCTTAGGTCGAACAGGTCTGGTTTGTACCTCGCAGTCTGGTTCCAGGGATCATTGGTGCAATTCTCTCCCCAAGGTCAATGCTGAGCCAAAGTCACGTCACCTCGGGAGCTTCTCATGATGCATCGCCTGCATGTGTGCCTGGTTCATCCTGGTTCCAGGTATACCAGCGTTTTGAGAGTAGATGGCACAAAGTCCCACTGTGGGTCCAGTCCATTGCACATCGAACCTCACCCGTGAAACCACTGTAATATGGCCATTACCTCCATATTGCAATGGTTGTAACCACCATCCATATGGTTAGCAACCGCCATATGGTTCTTGTGGTAGTACAGTCTTTACAGGCTATAAACCACCTGATGGACAAACATGGAAGGGACCGAGCCGGATAAAAAGAGGAGTGGATGAGTAACACTTCTTAGGTCATGGGTGTTTTTTCGATTTTGTTACTGGTTTCCTTTTTTTCTGTGTGTGTGTTTGCGTGTTTTATCAATCATTGTATCGTGCTGGCTTTTTTTGTTTTGGGGTGCCTTTGGTGCCTCCATCATAGTGCTCAATGATCACGAAAGGTAGCCCTTTAGGGGATACCTTGAGTTTGTCTTGCGAAGCAAGTGTTGGGACGTCCGGGTCTAATAATTGATCGCTCAATTCAGACCCCCCCCC